ATATATATATATATCAACATACACAAAGACCAAGGACTCAAAATACAATTTAACTTTTCAACAACCAAAATAGTACAAGTATGGTGACATGTATCTTAGAATTAACAACATATATACCATTACACAATTAAATCTAAACTAGAGGCATACAGTAGGAATAGATTAATTCCCTGCCTCTTTAGTCTTCTCCCTCTCAAACCAAAGCTAGAGCCTGAAAAAGTTAAGGAAAGGGGTGAGTCTAGTCACTCAATAACCAAGGTTAAACCTACCCTATGCAATTATATATCAATTATAAACTAACACATGCACAAGGAAATCAAATATGTAAAACATGCCCCATATATCAAATTTTTCATTCTGTAACTTTTTTAACTCTCAAAACTATATGCATTGTCATCATATTCTCATATATATGACATGACCCTTAGCAGGCTGAGGTCTCGTTCATTAACGAATTAACCAGACAAATCACTCCATCAACTAAGAACGGCCATGCACCACCACCCATAGAATCAAGAAAGAGCTCACAGTTTGTCAATCTTTACTATGTCTCGACCTAGTAAGTTTTCTCGTGTTAAGTCAAATTAAGCCGCAGGCTCTATTCCTGGTGGTGTCCTTCCGTCAATTCCTTTAAGTTTCAGCCTTGCGACCATACTCCCCCTGGAACCAAAAACTTTGATTTCTCATAAGGTGTTAGTGGAGTCCTAAAAGCAACATCTACTGATCTTTGGTCGGCATTGTTTATGTTTGTGACTAGGACGATAGCTACCACCACTTAACATGTGTGACACGTCATATATTTACTTAGGCAATGATCAACCACTCTTATATTCTCTTTATTTCCTCAGACTGAAACCATAGGCTATAACATTGATTAGGGCATCCATGTGACTGGACTACCTAAGCTCACCAGTTAGTGAGGTGTGATCCGGTCAAAGATCATAGCACTCACTCTCGGACCATGGCTTCTCCCATTCTCAAATCCCTAGGGTGTCTCATACCCTAGGCTATTCTCCTCATTGAACCGATGGAGATAGCTAGGTTTAGTCCCTTGACAAATTATGGGACAGTCCCTCGATAAACAGTAGGACAAGGCTATACCTCCGTGCACCGGAGGGTAACTTAAATGCCATATGAATTTTTTTCTACTCCCAATCCCTAGGTGAACTCTCGCCACTAATCATACCATAATCATTACTCATTTGTTTTCACTTTTTCGCTTTCATTTACTCACTATTACGACAACCACGTTGGGCTCATGACCTTACACTACCCAAGTATGTATTCTTATCATTTTCTCAAATTCATTTCATTACTAACACACAAATACCTCTACACATCATTACATTTATTTTTTTTTTCAAAAGTATACGCATTTTCATAGTAAAACCTATTGACTTTGCATTTTATATTTTCAAGCCAAAAATAGCTTTTTCATGCACTCAATGAAACTAATACATTGTTTTTACTTTAACAATCAATCCCATGCATGTAACATTCACAATTCGCATTCAACAATCAATTAACATATAACTACTCAAAGTAAAGTTTTCCCCCAATTACCTCAAACCTTTGAAAGGTCAATGTTTACCCCTCGATTAACTAGCTTTCAAGCTTGAATTTTCAATCCAAAAGGTGACCAAGAACTAAAACTACAATCAACAAGGTTGAATTCCATCAACATAACCAACTCAAACATTTGAACCCTTAATCTCTACTTCTAAATTGCCTAACATTCACTCTACAAGAAGTGGAGCCTAACCATTGGGTTTAGTAATTATCTTTAGCCCCAATAGCACTAGTGAGCCATTAAATCTCCATTAAAGGCATCACAAACTTTCAACCACTCATAATAAATGAGATTTTTGAATATTAATGGTGCCCAACAATCCAAGACACCAAAACTCATTATACATAGGTTTAGATACTTTAGTCTACCCCCATTAACTCCATTTGAGTTAATAAATTTAAACCCATAACCTATATAGATTGAAATTCCACTTCCAGTATCAAACCTAACCATAAACTTATAAATGTAGAAGAAATGAAAAAATTAATGAGTGTGACACTTACCTTGGGTGTTTGTATCCTTCAAAATACTTCCAAAGTCGTTCCCAAGTAAACCCTAGCAGAGTATTGTCACGTCTCTTCTTTCTCTCTTTTCTTTTTTCTCTATTTCTGTCTTATTTATGTCTGATAAACTGCAAAAAAATGGCCATACGTCACGGCAGATGGCACAAAGAGGTTCTTCCTTCACTCAAAAATGTCTGTTGTAAAGCTCACACTCCACTAAACATATTTAACAATAAAGCTCATGTAATCGAGGGGTTAGCTCCGAAAAGTGATTACTAAAGGTTTAATCCAAAAGTAAGGGATCTGAAATTTTTTATATAGAAACAAGTTAAAAATCGATCAAACCTTTTATACTAGAGTGAAAATAAGTTTCGAAAGTATGGGATACCTCAGAGGAGTGAAAGAAGTCGAAAATGTTTGAAGATAAATTATGTACTAAAATATAGAGCAATGTGCCGCGGTGGATGCACTTTGCACCGTAGCATGTTGCTTTCAGTACCACAGGCCGTAGCTCAGGTGCCATACGCCGCGGTGTGTTACACAAATTTTTACTAGTTCTACTGTCAAAATGATAACAGAATTAGGGAACTTTCAACCCACCCTGATTCTTCGTCTGACGTCTGAATGATGTGATCTAGGTATCTACAAAAAGCTCTATTCCTGTACTAACTAATGGTATGGGTTTTACTCTCAAAACAAGTCATACTAAAAGTTAGACACCCAAACACATTTTAACCCCTATTCAACACTTTTACAAAAAGTAGGTGTCCAAAACCCTCAACAAGTGCCAAAAGCCTTTCCTAACACCTGGACCATATCCAATGGACCTAGGATTACTAGTACAATATGTCACAAGCATCAAAATATCATTATAACAAAAATTCACTCCTCAATCCCAATTTAACAAAAACAAAGGAGAAGGTAAATTAATATTGCATTTAACTTAAATCATTTAAAACATGCCCAAATTTTTATTTCTACACTTGTACTAATATTTTGGCCCTATATACATATATATGACAAAAATACCCAAAGGCTGAGGGCCCAAAATACAATTCTAACATTTTCAATAACCAAAATAGTGAAAGTAAGGTAATATACATCCTAGAATTGGAAATTTATATGCTATTAGACAAATACATCAAAACTAGAGGCATACAAGAAGGAATGTACTAATCCCCGCCTCTTTAGTCTTCTCCCTCTCAACACCAAAGCTAGAGCCTAAAAAGTATTAAATAAGAGGGGTGAGTCTAGCCACTCAGTAACTAAGGTTAAACTTACACTATGCAATTATATATCAATTTATAAACAACTACATGCACAAGGAGATCAAATTTATAAAATATATCCTCATATATCACATTTTATCATTAATCACTATATAGCTTCTTTACTCACATAACTAGGTGCATTGTTGCCATATTCTCAGATATGTGACAAGACCTATACTCTTACGACCTGCCACCACTTTGCACGTGTGACCCGTCATATATTTACTTAGGCAATGATCAACCAGCCTTATATCTTTCTTATTTCCTTAGACTGAAACCGTAGGCTATAACACTGATTAGGGCTCCGTCCGTGTGACTGGACTACCCAAGCTCACTAATTGTGAGGTGTGAACCGGCTAAAGATCACGGGACTCACTCTCAGACTACGGCTTTTCCTATTCTCGAATCCCTAAGGTGCCTCATACCCTAGGCTATTCTCCTCATTGAACCGGTGAAAATAGATAGGTTCTAGTCCTTCAACAAATTATGGACAGTCCCTCAACAAATAGTGGGATAAGGCTATAGCTCCCGCGCACCAAATGGCAGCCTAATTACCATATGAATTTTCTTTACTCCTAAATCTCTAGGCAAACTCTCGCTACTGATCATGCCATAATCATTACCCACTTGAGTTTACTTTTTTGCTTTCATTTACTCACTATACCACAACCATGTTAGGCTCATGACCTTACGCTACCCAAATGTGTATCCCTATCCTTTTCTTAAATTCATTTCATGACTAATACAAATATCTCTACTCATCATTGCATTCATTTTCAAAACATAAGCATTTTCATAATAAAAACCCTTTTGACTTTGCATTTTACATTTCAAGCCAAAATAGCATTGTGCTCAATCAAATGTTCATATACTCAATGAAAACTAATATATAGTGTTACATAAAAATCAATCTCATACATGTAATATTCACCATTAGCATTCAAACAATCAATTAATATACAACTATCTAAAATAGAGTTTTTCTCCTGTTACCTCAAACCTTTGAGAGGTCAAAGGTTTACCCCTCAATCAATTAACTTCTAAGTTTGGATTTCCACTCTAATAAGTGACCAAGAGCCAAACTACAATCAACCAAGTTGAATTCCATCAACACAATAAGCTCAAACAATTAAACCTTCAATCTTTACTTCTAAATTGCCCACCTTCACCTTACAAGAGGTGGAGCCTAACCACTAGGTTTAATAATTACTTTTAGCTCCCAATAGCATTAATGAGCCATTAAATTCCTATTAATGGCATTACAAACTTCCAACAACCCATAATAAATGAGATTTTAGACATTTATAGTGCCTAATAACCCAAAACACCAAAACTCATTATACTAAGGTTTGAATACTCTAATCTACCCCCATTAACTCCATTTGAGTTGACAAATTTAGACTCATAACCTATATGGACCGAATTCCCACTTTCATTATCAAACCTTAACCATAAACTCATAAATGTTGAAGAAAAGGGGAGATTAATAGGTATGATACTTATCTTGAGTGTTTATAGCCTTTAAAATACTCTCAAAGTGATCCCCAAGCAAACTCTAGCAGAGCATTAGCACACCTCTCCTTTCTCTCCTTCCTTTTCTTTCTTTTTTCTGTCTCATTTCGCGTCTGATAAAGTGCAAAAAATGGCCATGCGCTATGGCGCATAGCACAGAAATGTCCTTCCTCACTCAAGGATGGCTATGCGTTGTGGCAGACAATCTACGCGCCACGGCGTGTGGCACAACTTCAACTCTTCCTTCTCTTCTCCTTTCGATACTCGGGTGGTCCGTCTCGATACCAAACCCACAACTAGGGCTGAAATAGCATCAAATATGATTATTAGACCTCTCTGGCCACACACCATTTCAATTTACTTAATTACCCTAATTAGATTTAATTAATCAGGAAATTAAAACTCGAGATGTTACATTTGTGCACTGTGGCGAACAATCTTCACGCCGCGGCATGTGGCACAACAACTTTAACTCTTCCGTTCTTCTCCTTTCAATACCAAAGTGGCCCACCTCGATACCAAACCTACAAATAAGGCTGAAATACTATCAAATATGATTATTAGACCTCTCTGACCACACACTACTTCAACTTACTTAATTATCCTAATTAGGTTTAATTAATCAAGGAATTAAAACTCAGAATGTTACAGCCCTACCCACACCTAGTCTAAGTGATATTAAAGGCAAAAGGTCTTGACAACCTACACTTACACCCATTATTGGGTGATATTTAGGAATAACCAACCTAAGAAACCAAATATCGAGGCCACCCATAGTGTTGATTATGTAATTTCATGTGGAAATAATATCTAATCCTCTTAAGGCATCCTCTTACCCAAAGCATGATCATGCCACTATACACAATTTATCACCATGTATTTTCATAACTCACGGCATAAGGAAATCAACCAAGCATGCATATAACCATGTAGTTACCTATAATAAGCATGCATATAAAACTTCCCATTTCACAATATAATAAAATATTTCAACAAGACATGGCATTTTCCAATAGAATAAGTTTTAATGGAAAATCATGAAAACACCACTTGCATTTATTTTTCTTAAACAATAATTAAGTTTATATTTAAATAAATTCACATTATTCTTTCTTACAAAAATAACCTAAATCAATTTAACAAGTAATAACATGAATTAGAGATTCTTCAGTTACCTCAAACCTTTAAGAACTCAAAAGTTACCCTTTAAATACTTGCTTCTCGAGCTTACCAGAGCTTAACAACCATGTGATAATAAAGAATCTAGCATTAATAGCAACCAATACCACTATTAATCCTCTTAAAAGCCACTTACAACTCCTAATCTCACATTTCCACTACTTCAACTTCCTAACCACAAGTTCGAATTCACAACTTGAGCTTAATAACTTCTATTAACACCATTTAACTCACATTAACTTAAACAACAACAAATACAAAACCTAGTAACCTAAATTTCTCCTTAAAGTGGCTGGGATTCATCCAATACTCTAGCCCCAAACTTATAACCTTATAAAATCCATAAAACTAAGTTTAGAAGTGTTAAATAATTCTCGTTAGCTCCATTAGAACTAATGGGTTTGAATCCAAAAGCCCTTAGGTATAAAAACAACATCTCTCACTCATGAAAACAAACTTTGAAATGTGTAGAAGGAAGAAAAAGAGATAGGGAAGGCATACCAAAGTAAGATCAAGCCCCAGCTAATTCCTCGCTAAACATGCCTATATTTAAAAATGGCCACCTAATACCACGTTCGCCTCATATGCGTCAACTCATGACATGTCACCTATAACCTTATGCTTCGTCACCTATTATGTTACCTACCATCTTGTACCCTATCACACACCACGTGTAAGACAATTCATGCCATGTCATCCTCTACCTCACATCATGTCACCTGCTCCTTGTCATATCACATATTCATTATGTTTATACCAATTAGGGCCAAGATTTGAACTCTTGACTTCTTACGTTCCAAGTTTTATATTCTCTTTCTTTGTTAGTTGAACTAAAAGACATTTACAATCATTATATTAGAAATTAAATATATATTATTTAACTACACAAATATATCAAATAATATATTATAAAAATACACATGTATATTTTATTTATTTTCAATTATTAATATGTTAAAATATTTATAATTATTTAAATGATTCTTTGCATTTTATTTTAAATAAAATATTATTTTATTAATGAAAATGAACTTCAAATAAAGCAAATATTAAATATTTAATAATTTTATTATGAATTTTAGTTAATTTTTTATTTTCAATTTTATTTTTAAATGAAAATAATTAAATTAAATATATAATTAAAAGTCATTTTCAAAAAGAAAATTTTTTTAGTAATTATCTAGGGATATAATCCCTTGCTAATTATCTCATTTTAAAGAGAAATTGGCAATCCCTCATTATTTTCCTCACTAATTATATTATTTTAGAAATGGATTGATGGTTCTTTGTTATTTTTCTCACTAATTATTTTATTTTAGAGAGGAATTGACAATCCCTTACTATTTTTCTTGTTAATTTTAAATCAAGCTATAAAATCAACATTCCTCTTTAATTTGCCATTTTAGAGATGAACATGTGAGCCCTGACTAAATTCCCTCACTAATTTACATTTTTTTAGTAATCAGGGAGGGAGAAAGAATGGAGGAGAGAGATGGAAAGTAGGGAGGAGAGGAGGAAGAGAAGGAGACAGAAGGGGGAGAGAGTGTATGATGTGTATTTTTTTATTTAAAAATATTAAAAAATATAAATGGCGGGACTCATTAACCAATTAACTGTAAATAAATAGGCATGACAAAGGCAAAAGGAATCTTTAATATTAAAAGATAAAATTGACTTTGAGTTGAGTTGAGGGTGACTAATGAATGACCTTTTGAGTAAAGTTGAGAGGAAAATATAACTCTTAACCCATTATCTTTTGAATATTAGTCATCTCAACTAGTTTTTCAAAAATTTATACGTGATTTGTGAATTAAAATAATATGATAAATTATAAGTCTTCCTTCAAAAATTACACTATCCAAATTTGATATTTTGATATTTTATAATTTTGTATTAAAAAAAGAAAAATAAATCTCTAAATTGACGGATAAAATTAATATTGTTTTGTTAAATTTGAAACTAGTTTTTTCAATTTTAAAATTAAAAACATATTACATTATGTGAAAATACCAATTAAGAACTTAAAGGACTTTACCTTTCATTTTAAAATTTGTTAGGACTTTACTTGACTAATTTTAAGTGTCATTCCTTCTCATAAGTATAAATTACTATGGACATATTATAATTAATATATTCTTAACCCACTTGGAAAGTTGAACAACTGACACTTTAGTTATAATCTTCACTTCCTTTCATGTATTAAAGCCATAGCAGTATCACCCCTCCGTTAGATATTTGTTGATATGACTTTTAGCTGATCAAAACAATTACAGAGAAGAACTTAGAAAATTTGAAGACCTAATCAATATTAATTTTTTTATAAAATTCTTTTTAATAATTTATTTTTAAATATTTTTTTATTTTTATTCACAAATTTTCACATACAGAAACATCAATTGAGGTGTTAATATTTAAAAAATAAATTATAAATTTTGAATAATTATTTATAAATAATAATATTTAAATTATTAAGAACAAAGCAAACTTGAAATCTGAGGACCTAACCTAACCCCTATGTCCTTGCCGAGCCAAGTCTAAAGCAAGCATCTTTAAGGAGGAGATCTCGCCCTATTAATATACTACTCCAGGTTCACGAGGCTCTGCGATGATTTTTCGCTTGTAAAAAGGAGTAGGATGGAAAATAAACAGCTTTAAGGACTTAGACCCATGCCTCATTTGGATTTTGAAGAACTCGCCAAGTAGTTTGAGCAAGCAACGCATCATAGAAATTCATAAAATTATGAAAGCTCAACCCCCCATCCAATTTTGGAGCACAAAGTTAGGGCAGATTTTCCCTTTAACATTACAATAAGAAGCTAGGTCAGATGGTTTGTGGCACCCATGCAATACTCTTAAGCAAATCATGATGAAATTGACAATTCTTTAATGGATGTACAAAATTGCTCCTAGAAAGAATGAATTAAGGTAAAGGTTGCCCTATTTATCAGTACAAGATATCTAGAATTCCTCAAAAAAAGTTTGTACATGTTAAAAATACAAGTAGAAAATATTTTATGTAGAATTTGTCATTCATTCGAAATAACAAAGCCTATTTATTAATTAAGTTGAACACCAACCTTTTAATAGCTAAATTAAATTTGTAATTTTGTTGTTACAATTTCAAATCCACTTCTTTACCAATATATATTTTTAAGAAGAAACTTATATATTTAACATTATATACTTAAGGTACTTGTATCCAATTAAATCATGATATGTGAATTTTTTATAGATTATTTATTTAATAATAAATTTTTAATCATGAGTCACACATCAAATTTTAATCATGGGCCCACAGTCTTTCAGCTTTTCCTAATTATATAAAAATAAAAATCTAAAAAAACTAACCACAAAAAAGTAAAATAAGGACTTTTACAAATATAACATATTATATGACCAAACTAAGCAAACATCCCAACAGTTATTATATTTTTTATTATATTTGTCAATGATATATTGTTGTATATAAATGATAAATTCCTCATAAATTTTTTAATTTCCAATGATAAACTTTTTATATATTAATAATAAATCTTTTATATATTAATATAAACCAGACACATTTTTAATTTTTCAAAAATTTGGTCTATATATTTTGAACATAAAATTTATTTGGACTAGTAGGCCAATTTATCAAAATAAAAAAAAATTGACGGAGGTTAACTGCTCAAAACACTAAACCCCATAATATTTCCTGCGCCTGTTAGTGTGTGTGTGTCCCCCCCCCCCCCCCCCCCTTTTTACCTTCGGTGATCAAGCCTTGCTTGCCCTTAACTATTGGGAAAAAACAGAAACAGTGAAGCCCATTAGCCTTTACAATATGTAAATATAAAGATTGCATCAATCACACCGATCGAGCTGTTCGCCTCATCTGAATATGACCTCTAAAAACGTGAATTAAAAAAGTCAAAACATTGGACTAAAAAAGCAAGATAGTTATAAACAAGGAAGAGACCAATAACACCACTTCAATAGCAATTATCGTGTGATCATGGAGACATTGACCATCATAAACCAATGCTTGAGGGTCCATTTCTGATTATTCACCCAAACAAGACAATTCACTGTTCCGGTTTTAAGTTGCACATTGTATTATAATTTCTTCCTCAAAATATAAAACTCAGCAAAAAAAAAAAAAAAACTGTTAAAGAGGCAAACTAAGCAATACAAGCAAATATAGTGCATGACCAAACATAGATAATAGTACAAAATCCATATTTTTCTCTTAGGCCATTGAAGACTGAGGTTTCACGTGCAAATCAAAGCATAAGCTTTTAATTAAAAATAAAAAAAGTAAAAAATCCATCCAATGTGAAAAAAACTCAAAAGAACCATATCCATACTAGAAATAATAAATAAAGAAAAATCAAAGGGAGAATGCAACAAACATGGAGCAAAAGCAAATTCAAGAGAGGAACTTCAAATGGAAATGATGTAAATGCATTTAAGCCAAATCACACAATCAGGAGGACCAACTTACACTGCCACAGAACTTGGCCTAGGGCCACCAACAGTGAAGCGCCGCGTCTTCTCAACATCAAAAGTGGACTGAGTTAGATGATGAGAGACTGAGAATCTGATGTAATGTACTTGGATTTGATTAATGACACCAATGTCGGCATCCCACACGACGCAGAACCTATTCTTAGAAAGGACAATGAATTCGATCGATTTCATAACTGTCGCCACCAAAACCAGAACGATCGAGGGAGGTCAACCACATAAAGTTCATTCTTGTTGCTAATATCGCAGTAAGTCAATTGCTTCCCAGGACTAAAGATGTAAAAGAATCCCATCATTAAAAACAATGAGGGCACCTGATGGATAAGGTAAATCCTTCTGATAGACACTCCAATTGCTATTGTTCTTGCAATCTAGTTGATACAAAGTGCCTTCTTCCTCCTATAGGCAACAATTGTGCTCAGCGATAAACACACAGAGAAATTTGGGGAATAAATAGAAACAACAGGTTGGCTAATTTCTCTTAACTCGCCGGAACCATCGCGAGCTCCCATAAAAGATCGATCACAGAGGGCATTAACCCCACCGATCACGAAAATGCAGGAACCAATCGCTTCGCAGCCGGTATGCACAAGAGCAGGGCCTGGGGAGTTCAGAGTAACTACATCTTGAAAATTTCGCGACATTTTAACACCAACACCACCATCGCTTCTTTGTTTGATCACATTCCAGTCGTTTGCTGCATCATTGTAAACGAACCGTACAAATCTTTTTTTGAATATTTTCCCATCTTGAGAACGTGAACATAAATAAGCTTCTCCATCCCTTTCCCCTGCGTCTCTGCGATAATGATGATGATGATGATGATGAAAAACAATCGATTGCTGCGGCTAGGGTTTTCACCAATCGAGGCAACGGGTGAAAGATTGATCTTATCGTTGAAAGTCCAACCTGTGTCTACCATGTGTCAAGGCATTTGGATATTTATTAGAGGAGGAATTATTGATTGGCACTCCTTTCATGCTACAATAAGTTGTCTGACTTTAATGTATGAAATATAATTAACCAAACAACTGGTATACGTATCAAATAATCAATTAACATGTAAATTTATAATTATATAATGCAAAAAATAAAATAGAATACAAAAGGGTAGTTATCATCAAGCCATCAATCAAACCACTTTGATTATATAACAAAAAAATAACATAAGTAATAAATTTTTAAAAATCACTTGATTATTATAACATCAAATGGACTTATTAAGCCTTACTCCTTCCTTTTTTATATAAAAAGTGTGTTTACCTGAATTACACATATTAATAAATGTTTTTTATTTAGTTGAAATCCTATTAAATCAAATTAATTTTCAATTTTGCTTCAAAGAATGTCAATTAATATCATTTTGGTGTTTGAGCAAGGCACGCAATTAATAACTCTTTTTTTTAAGATAACAATAAAATTATTTGATTACTCAAAAATATCATGACACTTATTATATTTAAAAATAAAATAAATTTTTAAAAAATTCTTTATATATAGAGATGGAGGAAATAATTTACTCAACCTATAATTTTGTTAACTTTAATTGCTAATATGTTGGGGCTAGTAGTTTTTTTGTATAAAGTGACAATTAAATTTTAGTGAAATAACATGTTAAAATGGGTTCGTATGAATTTTCAAATCTCTCAATTTACAACTAATTACTTTTGTAATTAACAAATAAAAGTTAATAAAATGACAGGTCTAGTAGTGATTTTAACAAGTCAACTTACATGTTCAGATATGCTTGCAAATGATTTTCTAAATTGGCAAGTAAAACTTGCTAATACACACACAAAGTGAACTTATCAAATCCTTAAATTTTCATATCTCCTATTTTGCAGCAGACCATTATGCATAGATTAATAAGTGAAAGTCAATGACAAGTTGTGTTGACTGTTGAGGGTTTAACAACCCCATTCAAAATAATTAATTTTAAATCTATATCCAAACAAGCACTAAGGTAATCGGGTAGTTTGATGGTTACTATCTTTTTGGTGAGCTCACAAGTTATGAGTTTAATTTCAAACCCCATTGACCTTGAGGATTTTAAATGGTTTAATGACCACTTACGTGGTTCAGCTATTGGCCTTGTTATTAATTGTTGGTCTCTAGTGATTGGTGGCTGTTAGAGACAGCCAGTGTGGACAACTGTGAGTAAACTTTTTTTATTTTTCAAAAAAAAAGGTATGGGGTTTTTTGTCTTTTGATATATAAATTTATTTTCATTGTAGTCCTACGAACTTGTAGCTTAAAATTAGATTTTTTCTTATTTTGTTGGTTAAAAAAAAAAAAGTGCTTCAGACGTCTTTTGGCGCGATTTACTCTAAAATTTAGATTTCCTTTGATTCTTGTCCTTGTGTACCAGCTGGAAATTTCTTCCTCCTTAAATTATTGCTCTTCTTTAATTCTTGTCCACGTATTCCACCTTCCCCTTTTCTAATTTGATTCTCATGTGAAAGGCTTGACTTGCTAACAATCGGAATCCTTGTCAACGTAGATATATTATATCAAAATATAAATTTATAATTATATAGATACTGAAAATTATATCAAAATTTTGTTTTTCTTAAATATTTATCTTTTAAGTTATACTATTTTTATTTAATTATAAACTTAGGTTAGTGTTACAAATTAATTCAAATACATTAGGCCGACAAGCTAAATGCACCAAAAGAGAATTAAATAATACTATTATATTACAACTAAATTGCAAGGAATTGAATGCAACTATCAAAATAATAGTGGCAAGACCAAAAGTAGATAAAAATAAACCCATGATTTTGTTTATTTACACATCTACGTAAGTTTACATTTGTATTGAAACTACATGTAATTCATCAACTAGCGGCCATCAGAGGCAAATGGTTCTGTAAAAGTGATTGAAGCAATAGAAGTCTGCCCAGTAGGAAAGGTGGAGAATGATGAAGAACATCCTTGACCTGACCAGCCTCCAACTTTTCTAAACTTCATTAAGTCTGATAAGTTATCAGGCAACTGAGAATCTCCATCAAAAATTTGCACTATAGTAGAAATCGTAGGCCTAGCTGAAGCAACAGGGTGTGAGCAGAGCAACCCAAGTTTGAGCACCAAATCAGCTTCTTCCACAACATATTCATCCCCCAATCTGCTGTCCACTGCTTCACATATGTCTCCCTTATCCAAACACACCATAACCCATTCTAACAGCAATACTTTCTCCGGCGAAGTTTGAGTTTCGATCGGCCTTCTACCGCAAGCAACCTCCAACAGAAACACCCCAAATGAATATATATCAGTACACGTGCTTGATTTTCCACTCTGCACAATTTCTGGGTCTATGTAGCCCGGAGTTCCTGCCACATGAGATGTTTGAGGATCATTTCCATGGTCCCATAGCTTGGCAAGGCCGAAATCTCCCAGTCTAGCATTCATGTCATTGTCAATCAGAACATTGGCTGGTTTGATGTCTCTGTGGACGATGACTTGAACCCATTGCTGGTGAAGATACAAGAGTCCAGATGCCACATCTTTTATGATCTTGAATCTTTGTTTCCAGCTGAGTATGCTGTTTGGCATGCGGTAGAGGAACTTGTCTAGACTTCCATTAGGCATGTAGTCATAGACTAAGAGGAGTTCATTTTTTCTTCTGCAATAGCCAAGAAGCCTTACCAAGTTTGGATGCCTGAGACGACCGATGGTTGCGATTTCTGCTATGAATTCTTTCATTCCTTGTCTTGAATCATGAGAAATTCTTTTTACTGCAATTTGAACATTGGAAAATGGTAGAGTTCCTCTGTATACTCTTCCAAAACCTCCTCTGCCAAGAAGTTGTCCATCTCTAAACCCTTTTGTTGCAATGAACAAGTCCTTGTAAGTGAACCTATGAGGCCCATACAAGATTTGCCAATCTTCAAGAACTTGAATGAATTTTCTCCTCCTCGAGATCATGATCGCACCATAAATCAAGATTAGAAGGAAAACCACACCTACTACTAGCGGTGATATAACTATCAAAACTTTCTTGTATCCTTTCCCTCCGCCGATTTCATTTGGATCTAAAATCCCAGGAATGTCAGGAAGGCGAGAAAGATTAATCTCCTCAGCTTGACCGTTCATCCTGAAATTCCAACCCAATATGTAATGAGATGAATTTGAGTCGGTAGAGGATGAGAACCCAACAAACATAAACTCAGAGAAAATAGAAGAAAGATCTGTTTTCAGTGTGAGAAGAGGAATCTCAGGTTTAGGTATGTTTATGGGATGAATTGTGACACTGAGTTTATGATCTTTACTGTCGTATTCAACCCAAACCTGCATCGGTTCTCCACTTGTAAGATCTAGCTTTCTGAGACGACCACGATCATTATAGTATGCCGCTGAAGAACTATTGACAGAGTCCAACCCATTTATATCAATTCCAAGATGGTTATCATCAATATCATGAAACTGAAAATCCTCATCAGTATCAAGCTCTATTGCAACAATATGATTGTAACTTTCACCATTGTTGGTAGCATTGAATAGGCCAAGATACTGGTTTGGCTGAGCTTGAGGAATACCTCTAGTCGGCGAGATAGCTAAGGCGAGTCCATGGCCGTGAAATTCAGGATCAGTGGCTACTATTGCAAAGATGAAAGTGGTAGAGAAAGAGAAGACAGAAGGAGTGGCGTTGGAATTCTTGAATCGAAGAGGAAGATTGTAAAAGACTTGCGATGCTTCACTAAGGCCACTATCGGCATATATTGCTTTAGCCGTCAGATTCGAATGTCTGAGCTCTTGCTCACTGCCTGCACTCAACTTGAAGTATCCATCATACCTGAATCCAACATTATTCACATTTTCGTCTGAATATGCTATGTTCAGGTACAAACACAGCATGAAAATGATGATAGACATGGTCAGTTTCCTTAAAACTCTGGAATTTTCTGTCTTCGATCTGATTTAAAGAGAACAGACAGGTCCTATCCTGGGTATGTTCAACTAAAACTTTGAAAAGAAATGAAGAAAAATGATTATTATTTCCAGTGCTAGGTAGGCGCGTGGGGTTTGATGACTTGGTAAATTAAACAAGTGGTCACTAATGGGTCGTCTTTGATTTTTCTTTTTTAAACACAAATAAATGTTTTTTATACGCAGTTAAATGCATGGTATTGAAAACCGGATCGGACCGGTCGGGTCAACCCGGAAACCGGTGAACCGGTCCCCTGTCCGGTCTGGGTTTGCTCTTAACCTGGTGAGGGAATAAACCGGTATAACCCGGTCAACCCGGGTTCAACCCGGTATAACCCGGATAACCTGGTGGGTTGACTGGGTTAACCGGATTAATATTTTTTCAGACTTTTACCCCAAAATGACGTCGTTTTTGATTTTTTTTTTCATTTTTAATTTTTCAGAGCTCTAAGTTCGGAAAAAAGATAACAAAAAAAAGTAAAATTGAAGTCAAAAAATGAAAAATTAGAGATAGAGCATGCTAAGTTCAAAAATATAGTATTTTATTATTGTTAGATTTTTGAGTGGTTGGGTTTGATTGAATATTTTTATAATTAATGTCTTTTTATTTAAATTGTATTATTTTAATCATGACCGGTTTGCCACCGGTTCAATCCCCGGTTCAACCTCGATTAAATCACTAACCCATGATTCAAAATCATGATCGATTTAATGACCAATCTGATTTTACGTACCTCAGTTAAATGTGAATGGGAAAAAATCATTTTCAGCTGATAGACAAATTGGAAGGAGCAAACTTCTTCTCAAGGAAAAAAAATAGTTTTGAGTCATTAAATTCAGTGACGGAGCCAACACGTTAGTAAAGTGGGGACCAAATCCCAAATGTTAGTTTAAGCTTTTTGTCTTCGATAAAAAAACTTTTGACCCCTCAAATTTCGCTGGATAATCAATTTAATTTTTTAAATTTAATTTTTTATTTTTTATTAAA